GAACTACAAAAATTAAAAACCTAGTTCTGGAACTGGAACTAGTTCCAGAGAAATTTTGGAACTTTGACATCACTGGTTAACAGGCATAAAATCTATTTTCAAGAATAAATTTCCCAAGACGAAAACTTTTTCATAAAAAGCCAAAAAATTTATGTCTATCAAGAAATTTTCGTTAGGTGAAAATGAGACGTAAACTGCATAAATGCCAAAGTAAAAATTACTATATGTTTGCATAGAAATTTTCTAATTGGGCATTCTGTGCCTTTATCATAGCAGCCTACAATATTTTTAAAATTATTCCAAAATTTTTAATTATTAAATAAAACATTCTACCTTTATTTCCATTCCCGGTATTATCTAAAAATTTTTTTTGATTAAATAATTATTTATCAAAACCTACTTCCACCTCCACCCTGATCCGGAGGACCTTTAAAATTAATATAAAGATTAAATAACTAAACTATCTTAACTTACAACAATATTCAAAATTTGTTGGAAAGTAATCAGCAATTGGTTTAAAACAAATATCATTACTGTTTGATAAACATTTGGCATTTGCTCCTGTACCAGTGCATCTTAAGGATAATTTTATTTAAAAATTCTATGTCGAATCATGATAAAAGAAATTTTTTATTGGTTTTAATAATTCATCAGTTAGATGTCTTCGTTCAGAATATTAAACTTAAAATTCAAGGCAATTTAGGAATACTCGGAAAATGCATCAATGGTATTGCGACTATGTATACATATTAATGTTGGCGGATAGTTGGTTATCTTCGGATATCCGGATCCGATATCTGAACCGAAAATTTACGATATCCGGCCTTTTTTCGGATCCGGATCTGCCAAACTTAGTATATATATCTCAGGTACTGACACATTTTTCTAATGTGTATATCTTATGATTGCTATTAATAATATCAAAATTCCATATAAATTTAAAAAAAAACTTAATTTTTGGTTTAACCGGCAATATACAAATAAGAAACTAATTAAAAATACCTCTGTGTAGCTGTCTCTACATTTGAATCAAGTTGATAATTTTTGTAATAAATTATTGTTTTTTGGTCAGGGCAGTATTGGAGACAACACCAGTAGCGACCTCCCCCATCACTCTCGCAACCCATAAGTTCGCCAAGATTCGAGTTTGGAACTGATCTATCACGACATTGATAGACACGGCCATTTCTTTGGCATCTTTTAAAATGTTTAGCTTTGATATACCTCTGTAACAAAATGATAGCGCCACTTATTATTTGTCAATATCCTACCAAATATTAGATTGATCTCTTTCAAACTTTGGTAGAATATAGGTAAGGATATTATGTATCAATAAAGAAAAGAAAAATTTTTAATGGAATTTTTAAAAAAAATTTATAATAGTAAATTTGATTTTAGAGTGTAACAAAAAGATAGCGCCACTTGTATTTCGACCTTAGGGGTGATCCGAAAAATCTGCAAAAATCCCTGTAAACATATCTATTGATATCTATAGAAAATACAAAAGAAACAAAGTTCAGATATAATTCCTTCATCGAGATCTTGAAACCCGAAAATCAACGGAAAACCGGAGTAGGCGTCTTTAAAAAATATTTTAGACCCCTTACAGGTAAAATAAAAATTTTATTTTTGGCTTATTTGAAAGCCCTTGAAATTTGCTACAAGCTAGTTTTTATCTTATGATCCAGAAAAAATCCATTTTTGAGAAATAATGAGTTTAGTTTAAAAGTTACATTTTCATCACTTTTTGGGCGGCGTTTGAGTGATTTTTATGACCTGAAAGTTTATCAAATTAGGTCTTAGAGGTTAATTTTTTCGGATAATAAAATTGATGCTATCTTGTAGCAAATTTCAAGGGCTTTCAAATAAGCCAAAAATAAAATTTTTATTTTACATGTAAGAGGTCGAAAATATTTTTTAAAGACGTCTACCCCGGTTTTCCGTTGATATTCGGGTTTTCAGATCTTAATGAAGGAACAATGTAAAGAAAGCTCGACAATGTAAAGAAAGCTCGCTCCTTCTTACAAATTGTCGGGCTCTGTCTGTATCAAAGCTTCATGAAATTTTACCCGAACTTTCTTATTTAAAATAATATTAATAAATACTCAGTTGAAGCAATCCCTCTATTTCCACCTTTACAATTATAAGTTGCAGATGAACAATAAATTTTAATAAATAATAAAAAAGAAAAAATAAAATAATTTACTAAAATTATTAAATACATTTTTATTTTTTTTAATTGAAATTTTGTTTTATTAAAATTTTAATTGGGAAAAATATTGATAATTTACTTATGTGCAAACAAATGAAAAACTTTTTTATTTTGGAGAAAAGTCGAGAGAGACATAAACTTTAAATTAAATGATATCATGAGTAAATGGAGGTGATTAATAAAGGAAAATAAAAAAAATTAAAATTAAGAACATTAAAAAATAAATTTCGAATATCCAAGAAATATACTGAACCTGTTACACCTATTATTAAATTATTTGTCTGGAAAATTTTATAAAGTTCAGACGTCATATGTTATAAATTTTACTTTTTAATTCTGAAAATTTGGGAATTTTCACAAAAGATTCACAAAAGATTTGAACAAACTTGGGGGCTGAAAAACAATTATATCCAACAACAAATTAATAATGTTTAATATTTCTAAATTTTTATATTTTTTAGCAAAAATTTGTCATGGTTATATAAGAGAGGGTAATCTGTCACCCTATTTTTTTAATAAATCGGCATTATCTAATTAAATTGATAGTCAAAGGAAAATCTTCCGTGGAAAAAAATTTTTTTTTAATTTAAATATGTGGAAAACAATTAACAAAACAAATTCTAAACTACTTTAACTGCTTCTATCCAGTGATGTCAAAGTTCCAGTTCCAGTTCCGGAACTAATTAGTTCTAGTTCCAGTTCCGGAACTAGAACTACGGAACTAACGATTATCTGGAACTAGTTTGGAACTAGAACTACGGAACTAGTAAATGCCTGGAACTAGCTTGGAACTGGAACTACGGAACTAGTAAATGTCTGGAACTAGCTTTGGAACTAGTTCTGGAACTAGTTCTTGGGGGGTATATTTTTGACAAAATTTCTTCAAAAATTACCTGCAGCGCGCTGAGTATAGAAGAAATCTGGCTGCTTGAGCTCCAAAATTTTAAAAATTTTCGCCTGCGGCGCTGAAAAAGTGAATATTTTTGGACTACGACCTTAGAAATTCTCAAAATTTTCGCCTGCGGCGCTGAAAAAGTGAATTGTTTCGGCCGATGACCTTAGATATTCTAAAAATTTTCGCCTGCGGCGCTGAAAAAGTGGATTTTTTGGCCTCTTAATCCTCCAGTTTATCCTTCAATCTCCTTAAATCCTCCGTTATCACTCATAATCCTCTTTTACCCCAGATTGTCTCGTGTCAAATGCACAATCCCACAATGCTCCGTGTTTTGTCGAGTGTCAAGTGTTCCGTGCGAGCATCCGTGCGTGCGTCTGTGTCAAGTGCACCCTCCTACAATGACATCCGTGTCAAGTGTTGAGTGTTTTAACTTTCAAAAAAATCTTGAAAAGCACTTGACACTCAACACCAGAGAGTACATGGTTAAGACTGCATGAGAAACCACTCGACACTCAACACTCGAAACGACGACTATCAAGTGTTGAGTGTCGAGTAGTACGTATCCTTCCTACATTGAAATAAAAAAGGCACGGACCAAAACACTTGATACTCAACACTCGACACGGATCAATTGTTAGAGTAGTGTTATGCCTTTATTTGTTAAAATTGATAAATCCTTTCATATTCAAAAATTTAAAAATTTGGAACTAGAACTAGCTTGGAACTAGTTCCAGAACTGGAACTGGAACTAAGGAATTTCAAAAATAAAGTTCCGGAACTGGAACTGGAACTACAAAAATTAAAAACCTGGTTCCGGAACTGGAACTGGAACTACAAAAATTAAAAACCTAGTTCTGGAACTGGAACTAGTTCCAGAGAAATTTTGGAACTTTGACATCACTGCTTCTATCTACTTGTCAAAACATACAAATGCATTCTTTTATGCTTAAAGATATTTATTTAATAATTAATATAAGATATATCCATTCTAATAAAAAATTAAGTATGTATATTTTCTCATAAAAAGAACAACAAATAAATCATTTACTTAGCTGGCTATAGCTTTGATAAATTTTATTTGGAAGAGGAGACAGAGATTTTCTATTATGAAATCGTACATAATCGTAAAAAAACAAGAAATTCTAAAAAAGAAATTTATAAAAAAAAATAATAAAAAAATAAATTTTATTAAATAATAATGACCTTCCAAATTTAGAAACATCCAAAACAAAAAATAGAAACATTGGTATTATTTTGTATAAAATGATTAAAATTATTAATATTAATTTCATTCATTTATTTATTAAATTTAATAAAAATTATGAGAATTATTACTATAAATTTATTTTTATTATTTTTGTTTGATTTAGCTATTGCAGCTATTTTAAATTATGGAACTGTTTTGCAAAATGTTGATCCGGAAAGGATGACACCAGATCGTAAATTAATTTACTTGAAGTATTGGGGTTAAAAATACTTAACCCTCCTTAAAAAAGATCGTTGACAGATACATAGTTTGACTCATCTAAAAAATAATAATCTCGAATTGAAATCAGAAAAATAAATTATAGACCCTCTTTTCGCCTTCTTAGATCCTCAAACCTTGAAGGATACTTTTAAGAGTATAATGCGTATATTAATCTCTAGAGATCCTCATAATGATTGCTCGTTACCTTCCCCACTTATTCAAAAGTTTTTATCCAAATTACTTTTGTCCTTTTTACCTCCACGTTCTTGGTTTAACCATACTAACATCTAGCTGTTTATTTAAAAAACAAAAAAAATTTTCAATCAGAAAAACGTTCACTCGTTACGGCAATAAAGGCAATACAAGTGAGCGGTGCAATAACACCAATTGAAAGACGAACACTTTTTGGATTTGATCCAATAAATATGAACCCTGAAACTTTCACTGTTTATGACGATCAATTGGAAAAATTAATTTTAGCTTTAGATCCTAGATCTATAGCTACGAGAGAATTTATTGCTTCTGGAAGTATTTCAGATCCAAATTTTGTTGATGAGGCTGATACACAAATTAATAGTTAATTTAAATTTTAAAATTAAAAAGATGAATTCTTTCAGAACTTTTATCGGAATATAACACATTAGCTACAACAGCTGCTAAAGATCCAACAAACAATCCAATCAGTGGAACTCCAGGAGTAATAGATTCTGGGGTTAAGACAAACATTCTAGAACCAATTTTACGAATTTATATGACCGATATTAAATCCAATCCGAAAGGAGCATTTAATCAAGACGTTACAAGACAACCTAAAGACATTATTGAGGCTGATAAATCATTTGGGGATATTAAATTGGCAATAAAGGCAAATGAGAATTTGGCAGCAAAAGGATTGAAAGCTGCTTCTATTTCTGTTATTTCAAGTAGAATTAATTCTTTAATGAAAAATCTTTAAATAACTATTAATAAATAAATATAGGATTAGAAAATGCATTTGACAATTTTGTACTGTCAAATTCTCCAACACAAAATGAGAAGGAGATGATTGAAGCTGTCCAAAAAATTGAGAAAGGTGGCAATCTGGACGACGTACCTGGAAGAAAAAGATTCTTCCCAGGAAATACACTCCAATCTATCGACCAAATTTATAATTCTTTAAGAAGCAAAATTCCTCTTTATGATCGTGATTATGTACCAGATAAAGGACAAGGGGAATTTGGAAATAAAATGCCAAAAATGAGAGATTACCGTTTTGTTAATGTTATTTCGGGTAAGAAAAATTATTTAAATTTTTGTCTTGATCACACAAATTATTCACCATAGACGTAATTACGTAGGAACTGATCTGAGGGTCATAATATTTGATCGGTATCTTGAAAATCGGTATCCTGATAATCGAAATTTTGAAAAATATTGTTATAGTAATATCATTTCTCTCTAATTTGATTGCTTTTCTTTGAATATATGTAGAAGGTTCTATATTTATTAGATCCGACCACTCTCATCATAGCAATAAAAGAGTAAAATAGAATCTTCAAAGATTGTATTAGGGAAAATACAGTAAGATAAAATAATAATTTAAAAGTTATTATTTTAGCCTTGAACAGAGCATTCAATTCTCGAATGCGTGATCCAGAATTTCGAACAGAATATCAAAATATTTATAGAAACGGAGAAATATTTAATGAATTGGAAAGAATAGAAAAACCTGGACAAAGTGCCTTACAAGTTTTTAGCTCAGGAACAGCCCCATTAATTGATGGACCTTCGCCTGAAGAATTAGATAAAAGATACGAAGAAAAATGTAAAGGTGCCACTGAACTGAGATCAAATGCAAAACCTGGAGCTAAACTTTGGGCAAAAGAAGCAATTAAAAGTATGTTTAAATTGACTAATTTTAACCTTCCGGTATATAACGACAACCTTTCAGCTTTTCACGATTCCAATAAAACTCATTTCGAGAGTAGAAGAGTAGATTTCCTCGAAACTCGAATAATACTTTGAACACGATTAAACTTATTCATTTTTTGGAAATACATATAGTTCATGAATAAATGCACAGAATTTATATCATCTCATATCACAATTTCGATCAAAAGCAATAATTTTAGATCCGGTTTTTCAAGTGTTGTTTAACCCCCTCCCTCCCCACATAACAACCATTAATTAATAACAGAATCAAATGTATAATTAATAAATTGTTTTTTCTTAAAGAAATTAGCTTAACAATGGATGAAATAGTAAAAGCAACAACAGCTCCACTGAAGTTAAGTAAACCTTTTGCACCTCCAGTCACCCCAACATTTCTTGACAACCTTCGAGAAATTGAGAGAGCTCAAGAATTAAATATGTTTCCACGGCCACAAAATGATGTCCCAACTTTTGATGTTAATTTTGGAATGAAAAAAGTAAATGATTTGCAAAAACAACAATTAGAGAATAATAAACAATTGGGTGTTTTGTGCCGTGTAATGTTTGCAAATGAACGTATGTTATAAAATAAATTATTTTGATAATTTCTGGCACCAATTTATTTTATAAAAATATATGAGAATTCATAAGATAATTTTTTAAATTTAATTTTCGACAAATTCCAATTCGAACAAATCCCAAATTCATTCTCAATTATATCCCATTTATAAATACATATATCTAAAGAGGTTCATAAACCTTCCTTCCTATCAATTCTAAACTGAAATTGATAAAAATGTCCTCGAGATAATCGAAGTCGAAAGGTATTTTAGCAGGTTATCATTCTCCTTTCTTAATTCTGACTCTTATCTAGGTTGTTGGTTGAATGAGTACAAAAACAAGGAAATCCCCAACAAATATTTTAAAATAATTTTTGGATCGGCATTTTATTTTAAGAAAAAACAGAAATTTTCTTAATGTTTATTTTTATCTATTTTACAGTAATGGGTGAGGAGTATCTAAGAGTAGCAAGTACAAACAATAATGCAATACTTGCTCAACAAGATCCAGAAGTGAAATCAATAGCTTTACAAATTTTGGGACCTCCTTCAGCTACTCCACGTCCAAATACTCTTGATTATTCTACTCTTCCTGTTTCAATTGATCAAGTTGATGGAAAGTTTAATACACTATATGAAGCACTTCAATTGGACAACTCTAGAATAAATTATCCAAATTTCTTGGACATTCGAAAAAAATTTCTGAAAGGTTTCTTGAACAAAATATTACTGTTAGACCTTACTACTATTTTTTAAGACTTAATTAATGATTATTTATCTATTGCTGGAAGTGACCCAAAATTAAAAAGTCAAGAAAAAACATTTCTAAAAGAATTGGAATCAATTTCAAAAGAAACAGAAAATGCTAGAATTCTTGGAAATCCACAAAATTTAAATGATCCATTAAATTTGGATTCTAATTTTGCACGACGACTTGAACAACTCCAAAAATTTGATAAGGATCAAGGATTGATGATTTTTAGACAATTGAAAGGATTTCCAATTGTAATAGATGAACTAAAAAGAAGTAAGGTTTATAAATGTAGGGAATAGCCTTTGGAATGATCTAATAAGCGTAATACTTGTCACAGAACCACAAAATCTTTGTTTAATTATTCAGCATAAAAATAGAGTTAAGGAAGGAAGGACTGGTTAAAATTTCAATGAAATTTTAGCTTACCTTTACTAAATTTATTGTATAAATTTAAACAACCCTGACAAAATTAGACGCTATAAAATATAAAATTCTAAGAAGATATTATCAACAATGAATAATTACTTAATAATAATTACAAAAATAATTTATTTTAAGAATTAACCAATGCATTTGATACTCTTTTTAAACAAATTCAACCTTCCACAAACATTCCACAAATTCCAAATGAATTAAGACAAACTATGTCGGATATTGAAAAAGATGCTAGTAAACTATTAAAATCACAAACTGGACAGCAACCATCAACATCTACACATTCTGGGCCTTTTCAAATAGAGGTTATCGAGAGAAATTATCGTGAAATATACATGCAACGATTACATGATAAATTATATGATAATGCAATGATTCAATATAAAGGATTGAAAATGAGGGGAATTGAAGCTTTTAAAAGTTGTGAAAGATCAAAAAAATTTTGAAAAAATTTTCCTTTATTTTCAGAATTAAATGATGCATATCTTTCAATAGTTCCTTCCCAAATAAGTCCACAAATGCCTCCATCTGTTCAATCCTCTACTGATTCAATTAAACAAATTAGGGCTTTAAAAAAGGATGAAGACATTTTAGGTCCTGGAGCTGCAAGCCTGGAAGTTTTGGATAAACGTTACAAAGAAAAAGCAAACAGTTTAAAACCTTTGGATAGAAATGTGGCTTCATTATTTGGATTATATAAAGCAATTAGTTTTACACTTAAACGTAAATTTTTAAATAAACGAAGAGCAATTTGTAGTCTGGGAGAATGTTATATGCCTAGTAGATTCTCCGCAAATCACATGTGGCCTATAAATTTCAGCTGCGTGTTTATTAACTGAATTGGGCTCATCTTAATTGTTTTGTTTGCGGATAGCATGGGTGCAAAAGTAGAATTATTACTATAAAATCAAGGGGATTGGAGCTAAGCAATTAAAAACTTTTAACTTAAATCTAACATTAATTAATAAGAAATGAGGTAATAGTATATGACAATAAAAATTTTTATTTAAGAACTTGACAAGCCTTATGAAACATTTGGTGTTGGAGAATTAAAAGTAGAACCTTTTTTAAGTGCGATAGCCTCAATGCATAAAATTGAAGATGCTATAGATGATTGGAAGGTTTTCGGCCAAAATTCTGATTTTTCCCAAACAGATGGTAAAAAATTGGATGGAATATATTGGCGTGAAGTTGCTACAAAAATTCGTGCTCCTTTAGTTTATCAACATTATGGTTTATATTCAAGAGGAATTCGAGCTATAAAAAGTAAAGCTTTTGGATAAACGACATTTGCGGACAAAACTGAAACTTATTAGAATAGGAAAGAAAGATTACTGTGTCAAATTAACCTGAATATGGCTAAATTATAGGGTACTAGTGGATGGTTTTATCACAAAATCATTTATTATCAATAAGGATTAAGCGGAAGTTTAGACAAGAGAATTACATAATCTTACTTGAGACTTTTAGCAATTAATGTTCCAATTGAGCTATCTAAACGAAAAATCTCTTTTCTCTCTTATATTAACTTTTAAACCACCTTACTAAAAGTGTGTTTGAAATACTAGCAAGGTTTTTTTTTTAAAAATTTCAATTATCTGAAAATGACATTCTATCATTTTTAAATTTAAATATAAATTAAATTAATTTATTATTAAATTTTTTAAAGAATTAAATGATGCTTTTGACACTATTGTTGATAGAAAAAATCAAATGTTTACTGGCCAAGTCTTACTTTTACAAAAGAAATTGAAAGAAAAGAATAATTTACTTTTGATGGAACTCTATGGGATTCCTCCGCCTTCAGATATTCGTTCATTAAGCGACGAATATATTCGCCAAAAAGAAGTGTTAACACCCCAAGATAGTCCAGAATTTGATGATTTTAGTGGAATTAAATTAAGAGCTAGCTGGGAGAAGGAAAGTAAATTTTTCAAAAATTTTTTTAAATCTAATTTTAATCTAATTTTTAAATCTGATTATTCTTTAATGAGAGTTTATTAAGTACAATTAATATTTAATAAATTTATTTTTAATCCCTCAATAATTATAATAAGTGATTATTTGCAGCTAAAAAATCTGAGATGATATTTAGTCTAATTAAGAGCTATCTTTGAGAAATAAGATTACTGTACCCTCTCTCAAATAATTACCCTCTTTAATAGTTATCCCTCATTTTCTACACAAATATTAAAGATATTTGAATAATCATTTTTCTTAAAATTTATGCTAAGAGATAATAGAAAATGATTTTTTTAATTAAAAGGACTCGCTATGGCATTTTTCCCTCTCGCATCAGGATTTACCAATAACGATCCAGAAGTCCAAACATCAATAGATACAGCCAATTATATTTTAACGGATCCAACAGATACTGAAATGCTTAAAATAACAACTGGAAATATTCAATTAAAAGATATTGACAACCAATATAATAATATTATTGAAGAAGAATTAAATTTAAATAAACAACAAGTAAGGGAAATGAAAGGATTTGTTAGTGCCTTGAATGATTATATATTGCCAAGTTTGTTTAAAATTTATTTTAAGGGTAAAGTTTGTTTTTCCCTCTATTTTTACTATTCAAATTTCTTTTTGGAACCAGGTTTAAGTTGTTATAGCATTTACTTAGAAAAGGACTTTTTGATTAAAAATTGAATTTAAGCTTAAAATTTTCAAAATATTCGCCTGCGACGTTGAAAATGGAAGAATCTGGCTTAGTTTATTTTTCGCGCCTGCAACGCAAAAAAAATATTTGAAAAATTTTTTTCCATTATTTAGTTATAAATTACTCCTTCAGTACTTACACTTTAAATTTTCTCGATAGAAGTCTTGCATAACTTACTGGGGTTAAAACAATTAAAAATTATGCATCCTTTTGATAAATTTTTATTATTAAATTTTGTTAAATTTGTAAATTATGAGAATTCTATACAAGGAAGTGAAAGGGGGGGGGGAGGGGTTGAGGAGGAACGGAGGACCAAACATCAATTAAAAAGGAAGATTACAATCTTTACCTAATTTTATTTAATATTACAATTAAAATTTAAGAGCTTGGTTCGGCATATAATAATTTAATTAAACAAGTTTTAAAAACAACAATAACCCCTCAAGAAACAACGATGTTGAACGATTTAAACAAAATAGAAATGTCTACATTAAATTCTGAAGAAATATTAACAGATTCTTCTAAAGGAATTAATTCAAAAACTACTTTACAAAATATTGACAATTTTTATTTTACAAGACATGAACAAATAAAGAATGGAAGGAAAGGGGCACTTGCAGGCCTTCCAGGGTTAATAAAGAGGAGTAAAAGGGCAATACAACGTAAATTAATTTTTTGGAATAATTCTAAAAATAATTTAAATAAGTTGTAGTTTATGTAGAAATCTGTTGATTTTAATCGGGGATTAATACATTCAAGGTTAACATAATCCCAAGAAAATTAACAGATATGGGCTGATAGGATTATTTTAGAAGACAGGATCATTTTATAATAGGTTTTGACATTTTCAATAGGATGTGGCCGAGATTTCTAGGCTAAAATCACGAAAACCCGGATTATATCCATCCCGTTTTCCTTCAATAACATAAGATAAGTTTTAATTTGAAGGTATGAATGAAGCTTACGATGACTTAACTAAACGAGCTCCGAGAAAATTATCTCCTCAAAAAGCAATTGATCTTCAATTAGCAATTAAAGATATAGAAAATGCAAAGTCCCCAGTTGAAGTTTTTGGGTTTGATCCAACAAAAACAATTGATATTAATGATTTAGACGAATTAGAAAAAAGATGTTTAGATAAGGAAAAGGCTATAAAATTGTTGATTGGTGATAATGATGTGCAAACACTTAAGGGATTGAAAGAACGTGCTCTTGATGCAATCGAAAGTATTAATTAGTTTTATTATATGTCCTTTCCAATAATTACTACTAGCACTTTTTAAGTATTTTTTGTACAAAAATATAACCAATAATTAACATATAATTTCTATAAACTAATTAACCTATAATTCCATTTAAAATCGCAAGGTTTAATGTTCGATCTAGTCCGAAAGGGATTATTAATATGGCAAAAATTTTTTATCGAATATTAAAATAACTCACTATTATTTTTTTTGTAAGAGTGAGCCAAAATACTAATAAATAATCAAAAAGAATTATCAAAAAATGTCAAAAATAAAATTACTAGGAAATTATTTAAGAGATTTAGTTTGAGAAAAATAAAATTTAAAAAATTATTTTAAGAATTAAAAGAAAACAAAGACGAGATAATTCAAAATGATATTTTGGAAAGTCCGGAGCAAAGAGAAGCTTGGTCTATCATTGTCAGAATTGAAAATGCAAAAGGAAATCCTCTGGACATATTTGAACTTAGCCAACCAATTAATTTAAATGATTTGGAAAATAAAAAGAAATTAATTAATTCAAAAATACGTCCTGAACTTTTTGTGGATCCTTCTCTTTCAAAATTTAAAGCTAGAGCAGAAAATGCACTTCGAGGTAAAAAGAAAATTTTTTAATTCAAGAAAATACTACAATGTATTTGTTAAAATTAATAATGCTGTAGAAGCCTTTTTCTAAAAAAAGATAGGTGTTAATCCAAAGCTATGGAACTTAGCCAACCAATTAATTTGTTTCTATGATTTTTTAAAAGCAGAAGTTCCTCAACACTGCCGGAGGTTCTAAAAATCTAAAAAATCGGAAATAGAGCTAGTACCGGAACTAGTGTTAGGCAAATAAATTTTTTCTGGATCGGTAGTAACGAAAATTACCGGTACCGAACGAGTAGTGAAACCGAAAAGTACCGGTCCGGTACTGACGATAGTACCTCCGTAGTACCGAACTGTGCCTAACACTTATCAGAACTTGAAATTCTTAAAATTTTAAATGAGCAGTACCGAATAGACTTTCAATTTATTTCATAAAAACAAATCTATAATGCATTGAATTTTCTGGTTAACCTCTCGCTAGTTTATGAATACGGCCTTATAATAATTAAATAAATTTTAAGCAATTGAGACGGCATATAAATCATTATTAAATCAAATCCAGTCACAACCTTCAAGACGGAGAGATCCTCTTATTCAAAAAGAGCTTGATTCAGAATTTAACAATAAACCACCAGAATTACGTAAAAATATTTTCATTTTTAATTAAATAAAAATTTATTTCGAAAGGTTTGGATTGTGTTGATAGTGCCTTTAATTGTTATGATAATTTAGAACTTTGCCTAATTCCAGTGAAAAAATATTTTTTAGGAATTAATAAATTAAAATTATAATAATATTTGAGGCTTATGTTCAAGTAATGCATCACAGATGTGCAAAAACTTGTGCTGTTTGTTTTAAAATTGGGGAAATTTGTGTTGATATTATTAAAAGAATTGAGTAAGATATAAAAAATAATTTATAAAAAAATTTTATTTTAGTTGTCTTTTTTGGCAATCTAAAGGTTTTTGTACAAATAAAGCCTATTCGAAGGGAATGAAGATGAAACAATGTGCTTTTACTTGTGGATTATGTCCAGTTGGAATTGTGAATGGCCGGAGATAAAGATTTATTTTATTAATATTTGCTTATATGTATTATGTAGTAGTTTATACATACTATAAATAATTTTTTATTACAAAAATTTCTTTTTAAATGTTCAGTTTAAAAATATGTCAGAGGCTCAAATTGCCTCATTATTCCATCAAGGGTTTTTTAATATAAGATAAAAAAAGTTTATAAAATTTGTCTCAGTAATAATTTACTAAATTAAAATTTGCCACTTGACGAGCTAAAATTAATTACCTCCTTTCATGTCCTACAAAGAATATCCTCTCAATGTCTTTTGATCGATACCCTTCCAAATCAATTGATGTTACAGTTATCCCTTAAGATCTTTCTTAATTCCTGTAAATTAATTAATAACGCCTATTATTCTGTATAGGTACACCTCTTGGTCACTCGATATCACCCAAATCCCTCAACATTCCATATAATTTCTTTAACATAGAAGACCAAGAAGCCAGATTATTTGGGCAACTCGGGACGAGTTTTTGAAAAGTTTTTTGGGTCGGAAAAATTCGGGTTTCAGGTTAGGTGTAACTCAGCCTATCCCTGTTATACTATATCTCTCATGTCTGTTAACCAATACATATATTTAAAAAATTGATACAAGATTAAGAAAACTTTAAGACAATTTAATATAAAACTTAAAGATAAATTAACAACTTAAAGAAAATTAAAATTGAGAATTATACAATATCTTTAAAACATTTTGGCACCAAATCACGTAATATTGGTAGATTATAAAATGCTTCTATATATGTTATTAATAAATTAAAATTATTTGCTCCAAAATAAAAATTTGCAATTAAATGAAAACATTCAGCATATTTTTTAATTCCAGCATCTTGACCTAATTTATTTAGTAAATAATTATGTAACATTCTTGTATATTTGGATAACTCAATTGAAAGAATATCCCTTGCTGATTCTGATAAACCTGGGATATCTTTAAATTAATTTCTTAATTATTTTTTTTCTTTAAAAATAAAATACCTGAATTTAAATACATAATTGCCAAAAGTAAACTAAATTCTTCTTTACAAATTCCGATGCGAAAAAAAGGTTCAATAGGCTTAGTGAATACTCTCATTGCCAAAGAATACAATCTTAAATTTATTTAAATAATGTAAATTACTTAGAAATTGGTTCTCAACTTATGGAAGGGATATTTTGTATATCGAGGGCCTTGGATCTGCATCGTTAGATTTTTTAAGAATTGATTTATAATTGTCTTCAGATTACTCATTTAAGGTGACGGTATCCGGATCCCGAATAATCCGAAAGAGTTCGACTTGGATACAGCATCCGAATACTCATCTCGATTATCCGTTACGATTAAGGAAATTCGAATCGGTTATCCTGGGATTTTCCATGAATTTGATAATATTTTACTTTCTATCATCTTTGAAACTGAATTGATCAGAGAAAGCAGCCATCGGACAAGAACCATCTTTCCTCACCCATGTATCAGAACCCAATTCATAGGAGTCAAAACAATTTCCCATCATCAATACAGCATTTGCCACATATTTTACAATTATTAACTTAATTATTAAATTTATATTAAGATGTATAGCAGGTATGGGCTGGCTTGCGCTTTTTTGCCCTTTTCCACCGTTTACACCACCTAATGAAAATTTGTTCGAGGCTCTCATATAGCAAAATTTTCGAAGCAGGTTCTATCGAACCAAGACTAATTTACTAATTTATGTATTTAACTGAGAAAATATTTAAAGAATATGTGAATGACCGATCAAAAATGTGATTTCGACTACAGACTTGCAAAATTCTTAAAATTTTCGCTTACGGTGATTTGGAGGGATTCAAGGACCTCTAAATCCTCATTGTTCCTGCTAATACCCGATATCCACAAAAATTATCTCAAAATTCTGCTTAAACACTGATATCACAATATTCTGCATTATAACATGAGAATTTTGATTTTATTAATGAATAAAATTTTTATTTTATTTCTTTTCCGCCTTTCAAAAAATTCTTTTTTTATAACTTTCGTAGTTCCGCTTTTTATCATACTATTTTTTTCCTTTCGTCTCCCGCTTTTCGTCATTTAATTTTTGTGAAAAATCAAATGACGAAAATTATCATTATTAAATTAACAAACTTGATCTTCAACAGCAAGTTTTGGATAAATAGATAAAGATTTAAAAATTCCAATACAAATAAGTTTCTCAACAAGAATACATTTTCTTAGTTTGTTAATAAACTGGTCAAATAGTGTATCTGTTTCGTAAAATTTTGTTAAACTAAGAAGTTGTGGCCTTTCCTATAAATTTATAGATTATGTTAAGTTTATGGTTTCTTGAGGTTTTGTCTCAAATTTTTAATGCAAGGATATATAATATGAAGGTCGAGAATTCTGATTTTCTGGTATATTGTAGCTTATTTAATGCTCTATCAAATGATACTAAGAACATTAAAATTTTCAGCCCCTTCAAAAGTTTTAGGGCGCCAGACTTAACTGAGCTTAGACTGAAACGAGGTGTACCCTCTTATATAACTTAATCACTTCAAAAGTGTGAACAAAAATTATTATTAAAATCGAACCTACGGAACTGAAAAATAATACCAAAACTCGATGGTATCAGTCCATTATTACCTATAATTAGGTATTTATTATTAGCAATTTTATTTATCTGACTGTATTTATTTATATTATTTTTACCGAAAATTCAGATGCTTTTAATATAATATTTGGCCCATCAGTTAAGAGATCTTGCAAAGAATTTAAATTTAAAGATAAAAATGGTTGGTCATCAAATTCCATAGATGCATTTCTAATTCGGCTTTGTGCTTCACAAATTCGAATTAAATGTTCCATCTAGAGTTATAATTAAAATTTTAAAAATAAATTATATTTACTTGACTATCTTCTACATTTAAAGGTGCTAAGAGATAATTTTGTTGACAGTGTTTTTCTGAGTAATTTTGTTTGTTTTTTAATTTTTTATATTTATTTTTAACACAAATAATTTTATCATCTTCCTCATTATAATTTAGATTTTCGTTTCCATCATGTAAATACTCGTCTTCTTCTTCGTGCCGATCATCTTTTAAATTGTCGAGATTTTTGTGTAATTTATTTCGGCGTTTTTCTAACATTTCAATAAATTCATCTCGACATTTCATATCATTAGTTTTAACCATTAAAGGATCCATTCCCTCAATTAGACATTTATCAAGACGGCAACCTCTACATTTCTCGCCTAATAAATGAAAAATAATGTTATTAACAATAACATTGAGTATGCGGTATTGGCCTGCTCCAAGAACAATGAAATTCGGAAAAATTTCTAATTTCAAGTTATTATTAAATAAAACATTAACCAGTTTTTAAATCACATGTTTTATGTCGCCGACAAGTGGTAACCTTCTGTTGTACAACAGTACGGCGAAAAAATTGTTTGCAGCCTTAGAAAAAGAATTATTAAAATTTAGATAAATTTCTTTTAATTAGTAACTGTATATTTTTTAAATTATTTTAGTGTGAGCTTAATATTTAGGTTGTAACATGAGTTTTGATACCCGACCATGTTTTTCGATGAATACTTTTATGGATATGGATGTTCTATATATCATTCGAAAGCTTAATTCGTATCTCGTTTGACATGTTTCAGCGTTTTTTAAAAAAATTTTAAACTTCTTAGATATACACTGATAAATGGGATATAGTCGGATATGCCAAGTCCGGATCCGGCTAAATAAATTTTTTACAAAAGAAGAATTAATTTATTACTATTCCGTGGATTATTCTTAGTTAGGATAAAAAAACAAAATTTAAAAATTTTGTGTCTGAGCAGAGATATGATTTTTTTGAAAATCACATATTTTTTAACATTTTTGTCAAAAATGTGACAAAATGAGAAAAATTGCTCTTAGCGACCAAATAATTTTACAAAAAAGTGAAAAATTCCCGTTTTTTAAAAATTCATATCTTGGGTTAGGAAAAAGATTTGACCATGATTTTTTTTGAATCTGGCTTCTAAAATTATTGTGAATAATCATTTTATGTTAGATCTTTTGTAAAAAATTTATTTAGCCGGATCCGGACTTGGCATATCCGACTATATCCCATTTATCAGTGTATATCTAAGAAGTTTAAAATTTTTTTAAAAAACGCTGAAACATGTCAAACGAGATACGAATTAAGCTTTCGAATGATATATAGAACATCCATATCCATAAAAGTATTCACCGAAAAACATGGTCGGGTATCAAAACTTATGTTACAACCTAAGTATAAAGGGAGACATAAAACTTTATTCAAAGTATGTAAGTAAGTATATTGGTATCAAATGTTAACTACTACATATATGATAGAGAATTAAATATTCAAATTCAAAAGCCTTCAAAAGCCTGTACCTCGCTATTCAAAAGCCTGTACCTCGCTCCAAAAACATTTTCGTAGCTAGAAGTGGGTCTCTTGAACCACTCTTGGTCTCTCGAAATGACGGCATTACTCATCATTTCATTTAAGTTGTAAATATTTTCCTCCTTTTCTGGCGCTGCAGGAAAAAATTTCTAGATTTTTGAAGGCCAATGAGTCAGATTTCTTCCTTTTTATGGCAATTTACTTGTTTAATTAAACAGGAATTCCCGAGATATCAGCCTTAATTAGCCGATATCCTCTGATATCCGTACGAAACAAATAATATACCCTTAATCCTCAAGAATCCCTCTACATCTATCTTAATCCTCCACACCCAGTATCTCTTAATACCCAGACTTCTCTCTAAATTTGATCAAACTTTTAATTTCTAAATATTAATTTATGTCTAGCTACAAGTTATGACCTTTTACATTCACCTTTAGACAGGCTAGAACAAACAACATTTTTTATGTTTAGGAATGGATTTAAGTGTATCTAACTTATGATTTTTTTCATAAGGCAAGTATCTACATTTCATATGATGCATTAAATTGTTTTCTCTATCAATGCATATCAGGCATTTAAAGAAAATCCATAAATCGCACGTCAATCACACGTATGATTAATACCGCCCTCCATCACTATCGCTCTTGTCAACTCTCTAGTCACATTCGGGATTTTACATTCACTTATTAAGAAATTTAATTTGATAAACGTTAATTAGAGGATTTTGTTTGCCTTTCCATACTCACTTTTATGTAGTCTTTCCTCTCATTTCATAAGTATTTCTTAATTGTTTGGGTATTAAAAAGTTTTTAAATATTATTTCAATTTTCTAATAAAAAATATTTAGAAGTAAACAATTATTTTTAATAGTTTTGTTTATTAAATTTTATATTTTTATTTTATTATTAGTTAATAATAATTAGTTAATAATAACGAATAATTTTATATTATAATTAGAATTAAGTTTTAAGTGGATTTCAATTACTATTACCCTACTGAATTTTAGTTTTTTTCAGTAACACTAAAACTAGATTTAACTAGGTTTCACTTAAGTTTCACTTTTATCTCTGAACTTTTTAGGGAAAAAATTATTTAAATAAACAAATGTTTATTTATTTAATTATTTTTTTGCTTCTACCAACAGGACCGAAAACAAATGCTTTTCCAAATCTCTTGAAAAAAGCAAATCCTTTTCCAAATTTATATAAAAGTATTGTGTTAATCCTTTAATTAAATTTAAAAAAAATTTAATTAGGCATTTGTAATGCATATAACACGATGAGTTTAATTGATAATCCATTGAATGGTTCTACAGAAATAATTTTGGAGAATTATTTCAAAGAATTTCTTTCAACGGAAGATTCCAATCAGATTAACATAATGTATCTGAAAATATCAATACTTTCTCAAGTATTTTTAATGGAAATTGCGTTTGACAGAGTTGAATCAGGAGCTAATATAGGGTTAAATAAATATGTAAAATATTTATAAAAAAAATTTTTCAAGATTATTGTCACGATTTACCATGCTGTGTCCATTTTCACTTGTGACTTATGAAATGCGTTTGTGTGATATAGTTACAATTTACAAATCAGCATATAAAAAGACAGTAGAAAAAACTGAAGAAAATATGCTCTCGCCGAGATATTGCACGTCTGCAGATGACGAAAAATTGAAAAAAATATTTTTGGAATTTCAAGAAGAAATTTGGGAGGCTAATTTTATTGTTTTCTTTAATTATTTTATAAATAAAAAGGGAGAGTCTTTTCAAAAAATTATGCGGTACGTTTAATTTGGATATGAATATGAAAATTTCTAATAAGATTTTGTTTTTCCTGAATTATTTTAACGGAGATTTATAAAAATGAAAATTATTTTTTCTAAAATGAAAATTATTTAAAAAATTTTTTAAATATTTTTAACCTCTTATCATTGAATATTTTAATTAAATACTAAGATCTTTTTCTGACAACAAAAACCGAGTAAATGAGAGAATGGAAATGGTATTTGGTTCTTTACGTTTATTTATTTTACATGAAATGCATCCGGAATATTTTGGCAAACTAGGTATTAATTAAATTTTTTTCTCAAATAATGTCAATCATTCTGCTTAAACAACTAACAAATAAGATGGATTGGTATTATTTGAAGTTCCGGAGGGGGCCTATTTTTTCAATGTCTAAATTTTTCGGAAACCTAAATGTTATCAAATTTAAATAACAATTTTCTAAAATTCAATAAAATCCATCCCATACTAAAAGTCACTTCACAATAATCCTTGCACAAAAACTTTCATCAAGCAACGTCAGACCCATTTAAAACGTGCTGTTAGTTGCAGATAATAAAAAATCATTTTGTTTGTTAGTTTATTATCCGCCTTGTATATACCCAAATGGAGATAACCTGAAAATCAACGTAAAACACGGTTTTTCAACTTCAAAAAATTTTTCCGACCCCTTATGGATTATTTTGAATTTTAATTTTGGGTCATTCGAAATTACATTAAATTTGCTACAAGATAGTAAAATTTTCCAGAAAAAATTTATCAACTATTTATTTTATAGAAAACATTTCTGTCAAAAATTATTTAATTAAATTGTCTGATGATTCTCTTGCAACTGAAATAAAATTATTTGATGATAAAACTTTAATTAAGATGTTTTATGATTCACTAAAAACTTTAAATGAATTATCTGATGATTCTATTTTAAATAAAGCAAAATTTAAATTAATTAAAACAAAATACCAACAATGGAGAATATTACATGTTTTGGATTATTTTCTTTATAAAGGATGGTATAAAATTAATATAGAAAATAAAGGTGATTTTGAGGAAATTAAATATATTTATTTGTTTTTTAGAAGGAATTGAACAAATAAAAAATATTTGGAAAACAATTTTTGAAAATTATTGGAATGGAAATAATTTTCTTAAAGAATTTGTTTTGAATTTTGATGAAATTGAAGAGGAAGAAATTGAAGAAGAATTGGAGGTATTTTTGAAATTAAACTTTTACTAAAGTATGTACGGACAATAATGGGAGTACAATAATATTTTGGAAATTAACAAAATATAAAAATAGACCATTTTCATGCTAACTAAACTTTCATTTATATGTTTAATTAATTTTGTAGTAAAAACGTTTTTAATATAAACGAAAGTTTGGGAGTTTCTAGATCTCGATAATGGAAGTATATTAGAACTTCGTTTCTTTTGTATTTTATATCTATATCAATAGAGATGCTTACAGGAATTTTTATAGATTTTTCAGACCACTCCTAATCTCGAAAATTTAAAATGTGCCATCTTTTTGTTACACTGCTAAAACGGTTATTATTTTATAAAAAAATTCAGGAAAAAAATTTTTCCGCGCGGTTTAGCTTATCTTTACCCTAGTCATGAAAACTATTTACAAAAAAAATTTCAGTCGAAACGGACCCTTTTCCATTGAGTTATATCGAAAAAACATGGTGTGCCATCTTTTTGTTACGCAGTGTATGGTACCGTGCCTATTTAAAAATAATTTTTTAAACTTTTAAAGCAAATATTTCTTAATCCAAATGGTTATTCTGAAACTAATTTTGATGTTCATTTAAAATATTTGTTTGTAATGAAAGAATGTACAGAAAATATTTTAAACAGAGAAAATAAAGAAAAAAATAAAAAATCTTTGAAAAGTTGTGTAAATGAGGAAATTAAAAAATTAGATGAAAATATTGACAAAATGGATAAATTTAAAGGAAATAATCAAAAATTAAAATTTATTGAAAAAATATATAAAGATAAAGTGTATAATCCAATTCAAATAATGAACGAAAAATATGTGTCAGAAAAAAGTAAAGTTTAAATTAAAAATATGTCAAGCAAGTTTTTCGAATTTTTTATCAAAAAAATAAATAAGCATGTTAATAATCATAGGTTTAAGGGATGTTGCAAATCTAATCTTAAACCCCGTAAGGCGTATGAAATAATTAAATGGAATGTGGGGAAAAAATTTTTATTAACAAAAATCGTAAACTAAAAACTAAATAAAGGTCAAAACTAACGGCTGGGTCGGGTGAGCTTGGGAGCCTCGATTGCCAAAAAGCCAAAAGATCATTTTTAGCTACATCTGTAGTAGTGATGTTCGGGAGAAGAAAAAACTCGGGAAACGGGAGTCGGGATCGGGAGTCGGGAATTTACAATAAAAAATTTTTGGCACCTTAGGCACCAAAAATTCCGATTTTTTGCACCGCAAGCGAGAATTTTAAGAATTTTGAAAGGTAAGAAGCCAGATATCTTACTTACTAGCGCTGCAGTCAAAAATTTTGTGAATTTTTGAATTCTATGCGGTCAAATTTCTTCTATTTTTAGCGCCGCAGGCGGAAATTTTGAGAATTTGCAAGTCTTTAGGCAAAAAATTCGACTTTTCGATGTCCATATTTCCCCTCCCCCTTTCCCCAATTTCGTTGTTGGGGGGGGGGGGGGGCTCTAGCCTCCTGGATACGCCCTTGATGTTATCATCAGTCTCGGCAGTCCGTGGCCAAGGGGTTGATTTCAGAGGTGCCTATTTCAGGGTTCTCAAATCCTTTGTTGCAAATCCTCTTTGGGTCTCAAATCCTTTGTCTAATTTCAGGGGTCTCGAACTTTTTTTTAGGTTTAAAGGCTAAGAAGCCATATATTCTTTATTTTCTGCGCCGCAGGCAAAAATTTTGAAAAATTCGTGGCTAAATTAATTTTTCTACAGTTTATTCACGTTTACTAATATTAAAAAATAACTTTACAATTTTAAAATCAAAATTAAAGTTAAAAACATTTATTTTTCGAAGAAAAATAATTTAACTAGCATTTCCCAGCCCAGGATTCGAACCCAACCCCTTCAAAATATCAAATTGAGTGAAGTCACTAAATCTTACCACTCAACCATCGCTCAACAACAGAATTTTTGGAAAAAATTTAAATATACATATTTTATTTTTCTATTTTCCCTTTGCCTTTTCTATTTTTTCCTCTTTATTTTTTTCAGTTTCAAAAATAAAATTTTATCAAAAAAATCAATTCTTAGAGGTGTAAAAATTTTCCGACTTACTCGGGAATTGATACCGGGAGTCGGGATCGGGATCGGGATACCCGAACATCACTAATCTGTAGGGGTGTATTTATAAATACGACGGGTTAAAAAAGACAGAATCCCTGCTTTTCATGTTTTCAAGTAATAAACCTAATTATTAGAAAATGAAATTAAAAAATTATATGGTAGTCAAAAAATAAAAGATGTAAATCCAGATAAAATAATTATGAAAAACAATGAAGAGAAAACAAAATTAGAGGAGGTAAGCTATAATTTTATCTGTTCCAAGCTATATACTTGATGCTAAATTAAATTTTCAATGAAAAAGAGTTGTCATTTCTGCAGAGAATTTTTCATTTACGGTTATCCTGTTCGGCTAGCGATATTTAATGAATTTTCAGATATCCGAATAAACTTTTGATATTTAAAATAAAAAGCCTTTCAACAGGAATAAAATGTAAAATTTTTTTAATTTAGTCATTTAAATATCACTAGTAAACTGAAAATAAAAGCTAAAAGTTTATTTCTGGGTATAAAAATATTGTTAAAATAAGATTGTTTTTATAAACAAATATTCTAAGGATTATTTGATCATTCTCCTCCATTTTTCTCCGGCATACCATAATTGATTAATATTTCACCTGACAATAATTATTTTAATTTGTGTAGCAAAATCAGCCAAAGAATCTACAAGGAAAAGAAATTATTCGAGAAATTGAAGAAGAAATTAAAGAGGAAGACGAAGAAATGTTTTCTATAAAATTAATAGATGAAGTTATAATGAAGGAATATACACGTAAATATTTTTTAGAATTAAATGAAGATCTTATTAGAGTTTGGCATAGTTTATTCTAAACACGATACACGATCCTGGAAATAAATTGGAAATCAGCCACGCTGGTTTTTTCAAACCCAGAATCCGAAAATAAAGCGCATACCGATGCCAGAATGTCGGATACTAAAATGTCAATTTTGTTAATTGATAAGAAATATTTCAGACTAGAGTTGTCTAATTCATAATTCTTCTGTTAGAGGAACCTTTTTAACAGAAAAACAACCCAACCCTATTTGAGACCATGAAAATTAATTCCAAAATTTTTAGAAAATAAAGAAATAAAGGATGCACTCAATTTTTTAAAAGATTTGTTGGAAATTGAAAATAAATTGTTTGAACAAAATATTGGAATTTTTGATAAAAATATAGAAAAATTTAAATTTAAAATTAAAAATAAATTAAAAGAAAATAAAAAAGTGGAAATAAATAATTTATTTGAAAAGAAAAAAGGGAATTATTATAAAAAAGATGGACATTTAGTAAATAAATTTACTAAATTTTTGTTGGAAACTGATGAAAAAATGAAATTAAATAATAAAAAATTAATTTATTTAATTATTTATTTATTAGTAAAAATTGAGGAAAATATATTTGATGATTATATTAAAGAGGTAACGAAGTTGCGAGTCCGAGTTCCGAAGTTGCTTTCCTTCCGATTTCCGGCACCTTCGTCATTTCGACCCACCTCTAGTAATAATGAAGAATAATTAAAAATAATAAAAATGAGAAATTCCCAAAACAGATCCAGTTCAAAATCTGGAATAAAAAATTTACCGGAGTCCGTATGTCTGGCTTATTCTGGGTTAAACATGTCAGGGAATAATTTTTGATTTTCGGGAATAATCCGGAAATAACTCTGATTAAGTATCTCAACTCTGGAACTGGAACTTCGGTTCCGTTTATATA